AAAATGCAGTAAAACAACTGCATGTTGAGATAACAGAAACTGAGAAATACTTACTATCAATTTCGTACACGTTATGCCAAAAGTCAATGCTTTCGGTATATCGGTCCGGATGAGAAACAGGGGCCATGTACAACTGCAAAATGTACAAAATAAACCACAACTTCCAATACACGTTTTTAGCTGACCACAATGAATGATGATACTTCTCTATAGCAGACAATGATGAATTCAAAACCAGCTTTTCAGCAGAGTAAAGGCATTCTCATCAAGAGGCAGTATGTTGTGGACCTTGTGGTGTGTGTGTGTGTGTATGTGTGTGTGTTTTGCACATGAAAGAGAGAGTAATTAAGTAATACTGTGGCAAAAGATGGAAGCATAAGACCACCAGGTTTCAACCACCGGTCTCTAGCAGTAATAACACTCCCCAGCATGCTCTAACAGGATAGTCAAAAAGTGCACATTAGACAAAAGGACAAGCAAATGCATGCTAGACTTGCAGCTGAAGAATAAAGATCACCTCATAAAGAAGCATGTAACCCATCCATTCAGAAACTATAACATCAACTTTTTCTTCGATTTCAACATCCTGCAGTGGTCATAACAAGTTTCTCATACTACATTTATATATCGGAAGTCATGTTTGAAGAAAGCACAGTGACTTTGTTCAGTGAAAAAAAAAAAGGATAAAGAAAAAGAAACTTCCGCCAATAAGGAATTAACGTATGAGTACCTTCAGTGAATAAGATATGGTGAAGCTTATACAAACCTTTTTATATCCAAACAACACCATACCAAAAAGAGTTGATAGTAGTGTCTTGTGTATATACTAACATATAAATACCTAAAGTAATACCATGAAACTACTGTTTTCAACATTCCTAATGCAGTGTTCTTCTACCAATAGTTCAACTTGTTCCCTCAATTTTAACGGAGTATTCATCACAAGACTGATGTTTCCAATGTATAATTCCATTCATGTTAAGGTATTAGAATAAAGTCACTTTCGTATATTTGGCACAAGTGTTTGTAGAAATGCATAATATAATAAGGAAGCTTAGGAGAGCTGGATCACTGAGAAGCAAAAAAACTCTGCAATTGATTTGACAAATATCAACAAAAAAACAGAAAGTTGTAAATCTCTAAGTCGGCATTGTTCTCCAACATTGATTTTGTTTGGGAGAAAAGCGTGTCGTTGAGGTTTCGTTTTCCTCTTCAATTTTTAACTTAAAACAGTGCCGATGTTCATGAGCCAATATGACCGTGTGACTTAACTCGCCTCTCAGGGCTACAATGAGATCTGTGATTTTCTACCCTAACCAATTATCACTTAATATAATTTGTCTGCATGATCTTATTATTAATTGCTGCATCCTATGATATTGTGCGAAGAAAATTATTACATTATATTCATTTCAAGAAGGTTAAATAAACTGTTAGAAGACTTCTATTCTTGCTACAAATACTTAACTTGAGTTCTACGCAACCCGAACCTCGAGAAAACACCATTCTTCTGAAACCAATATACTTTGTATTCAAAATTACATGCCTAAATGGCGATCAATGCTCTTTTCTTAGGGAGTACATAGTGCATTCAGGGGGAAAAACTTTATACCATAGATACTCAATTTTATCATCTACTCATTCTTATCTCTTTTCTGGCTTATAGAAGCACAAAAGGAAACATTAGATCAACTGGCATTAGAATGTTTTAAGCCATATTGCCCACCTATGGCTGCCTATTGGCTAATTTAGTTAATCATTTACAAAATGTCTTTGCTAATTCTATTCTGAAAAAATTTCAGTTCACACATGTCAATAATGCTGGAAGAGTTAAGGAAAGCAGACCTTTTCTTTCCAATAATTAGAAGTTAGAATCTTAAATTACACAGGTTGGCATTAAAGAGAGTACCTCAACTCGCCCATGCAATACAATGATTGTCTCGGATAAGTTGTTTGCCTTGATCACTTCATTTGCCTGGCATGGCATAATGACAATGATCAGAACATTGACATACTTTAATAAAACGGCTACAGCATATAGGTACAGCTAGAACAAGAAGCATGAAACATGCAGTTTCCAATATATGGAGTATAACATAATAATAGGTGTAAGGATATTGTATAATATTCTATTCTTCAAATGAGGAAAGACCCTAAAATCTATTTTATTCTGTTCAATTTCATTCTAACACCTATTCCTCATTTTTAACAACAAAAACATATCTCTCTTCCAACACCTTGAATCTGCAAAACAAGTCAAACTTATGAGAATCACTTGCAACACAGCACGAAAGCAAACTTATGAGAATCACTTGCAACACAGCACGTAATGCTTTCTTTAAAAGAACCCTGCCGACACCAACTAATACTCAGAAGAAAGCACGTCTATTTGGCTTGGAAAACATAAGATAATAAGCACCTGAACTGCTATATCACTGGCATCCACCGCATACACCTAGTAGCAAAAATAAAACAATCAGAATAGCTCAATGTAACAGAACAAGAAATAACAAATACTCTTGCACAGAAAACAGAAATAGCTTACAGAGAGATTGAGACAGATAACCACAAACAACGCCACGTAAAGGCCCACATGAAATGATTTTCCATGAGGAATACATAAACTACATATTTAATGATACTACTTGATTAAAAGATTCCAATAGATGAGCATTCAAATTAATTTTCACGTATAAGAAATGCTAGGGAGGCCAAACCAATATTTGAACCAAAAACACACAATTAATAATTCCACAGATATTTTATGGATAAAGATACAAATCTGCTTCTGTAAGTTGCACCCTATCTGAGAATATATGACTTTCAGTGATGTGTTGCAACAATCATATTGATTATTAAGTGTCACAAACTGAACCAAACCTACGCAAATCAACTTGATTGCCAAAATACCTCTGCCATTTGCAAGGGAGACATTATCAGTTCTTAATGAATGTACAAATTATGGAATTTGTTTGTCCCATGAACCAATGAGGCTGCACATAAAAAACTAAATGATGCTACCTTAGATCATCATATATCAAGAAAATCCCCAACACACAAAAGGAGCGAAGGTCAGAAGTTTCACCCGTAATGAAAGTTCCACAGTTCTATAACGTTTAGTGATCACTTAAATTGACATATATATGAGTTATCATACGCAACAATTTAAAAGAAAATCAAACCATAATCTGAAAAATCAAAAGTTTTAAAAGAGGAAAATGATGTATAGCATTACCAAGTTTTATCTGGGTCTAGAGAGTTAGAGAACAATAGGAGCATCTTACCCTTCGGGCTCCAGCCCGTGCACAAAATATTGAGAGGATGCCAGTGCCACAACCAACATCAACTACAACCTGAAATACAAGAAATCAATACTCACCATCAGAAGGTGAAAAGTTAGCCAACCACAAAAGCCACTCAAACAAATAGGCGAATTTTGATATTAATGGCATTCTAGAAGTAGAGGTCCACAGTGCGATTATGTTGACATGACATAAATAGCATTTTCATTGTCCTCCTTCTATCATCCAATGAATATCACATGAGATTTTCAACAGGTATAATATACAGCTGCGGGTGATACCAAAGCAGATACAGCTATGAAGAGTGCCATTATCGAGATTAAACCTGCACATACAAAATACTTAAATATCCAAATAATTATGAGCAGTTTTTTCAATGCTTACTTTTCCTGCAATCTGTTCTTGGTGCTGGAAAATGGCATCTCTGTAAGTTTCCGTACGCACACGATCCTGCACAACGTATCAACCATCTTCATATGCAGGCTCAAAATCAATGATTTAACTAAAATAGGTGAATATATGTGTGTGTGTGTGTGTGTGTGTTTGTGTGTGTTGCAACATTGCAACAAAGGGTATGTGGACTAACGCTTTCCATCAGGACAGAAGATATAAAAAATCCTAAAACTGAGATATACTTACCCATTTTTTAAAAGATTAAAAAAAAAAAAACTTATCAGCAATCCCGAATTTTATCAAAGTACAAAAGATTATTTTGTAGTTTAATTAGTTCAGGACTTATTAACAGATACTAATAAAATACACTATGAAATTAATTAATCTTTGCAAATATTTAACTGATCAAGTCCCACCTAAGCACTGAGTTCTACACTCTACAACAACCACATACTGAACACCAAGTAGGATTAATTTGTCAACGGCTAATGAAAAATTATGCAAGCATATACACCTTCAAACACGTGCAGGCTAAAAATATTAGTAACTGGTTTTCCATGTTTCCTCGTGCTAGAAGAGTTACAATTGCCATAAATGATGATCTTCTGTCATCACACGTGTTTACATTGTAAACGAAAGAAAATATCTCATAGATATCAAAGCAAAAAAACAAGTTAAGCAAAAAGGAGACTTGGACAATCACCATCAAGACAATAGATAATCACAAAAGTCTGCACTAATTGTACAGAAGAAATATCTCCAAGATATCAATGGCTAAGTTCCACAAAAATGAAAACTGAAACACTATATTTATGACCAAGATATAAAAATCTTAAGCTTATAATGTCAACAAAATACATTGGAGATGCATAATTACCAAGAAATGATCTGCCAAACACTAAAACTCCATCTCCCATCACCGTAGTCAGCTTGAACAGAAATCACATTACTATCAAAGTTTAATTAAACTCTAAAAAATATGAAACTGACATCCAAAGACAAAATATTTCAATGGATGTCTCACCCAACTTTGGAAACCAGGTAAAGCACCTTGGTAAAAGAACTGCCAATGATACAAAAAACAATAGAACAACTAACTTCTACACAGTAGCATAGAGCAACATTAAGAAAGATGGTGTAATATATACATAGTTTAACTTTCCAATTATCATAATTAATTCATTATATTTAGTTATCCAACAGATTGATTATCTAAACTTTACCTCTTGCTTTCCAACATTACAAAGAAACATAATAAATGTAAAAAATACCCCGAGTGACAAAAATAATCATCATGGTGACAAGCAAAGAAACAATAACGACCCAATTACAAATAGATACAAGAAAATTATCATGTTTGTCACACTAGAGAATCTTTCTAACTCAAATGTGATTTCTTATGAAAGTTCTTGAGAAAAATACACTATAAACTCACTGGTTTCTTCAATCGCCATCCGCATTTTAATTGTCTGATTGAAGTAAAAGAAGAAATGAAATGTAAATGATGATTATACAACTTTCAATAAATTTCATAACTCAAGCCCACATATTTCTAACTACAAATAATAATAATAAATAACAAAAGAAAACAATAGCTCAATTTAAGAAAAATATACTAGTACATACTCAGTAACATACATCACTCGGCCTCTAGCTACTCAAATGCGCACTATACCCAAGATTCCAACTGTATTGAGAAATGAATGAAATGTCACCGCAACACAATTTGTGTAGAGAAATGCCATACCTTGATCATCTCTTCGTGAATGCCGAGGTGAGCGTAGGAGTGAAAATACGCCACATCGTAATTCGTACAGGGAGGGGAAGCTTTTTCTTTCTCCTGTTGCTGTTGATGCGGAACCCTAGCATCAGAACCGCTGCCATAGTCACGCGACCTGCCGGGCCTACTTCTCCGGGGTCGAGGCCCTGTCACGTTACCGTAAACATCGCCGCTACCTCCTCCATGATGATTGCCATTGCTATATCCAACTCCGCCGCCGTCAATGCCAACCCCGCTGCCGCCGTTCGTCGGCTGAAACATATGCTTACCTCACTCAAACACAGGCCAAACGCCAGACTCGAAAAGGGGGCAAATATGTAAATGGCTAAGAGAGTGTTGTTTTACACTTGATTCGTTCGATTTACGAACGGAAGTGATGATAATTCATAGTTATTTTCCATCGACCTTGATTGTTTACAAAAATCTAAAAAAGAAAAGTGGATTTTTTAGTTAACTTGAGTTAATTTAGAAGAAAGATGGTACGATTAGTTGTTAGTTGGATTATGAGTTTATATTAAAATAATGTGAGTATATATATATATGAAGTGATGGTTAGTTAAAATTATATAAATAGTGAATTAAAGTAGATTTGATGTGTAAAATGATTTGTGGTATTATTTAATTATATTGATAATATTGAAGATAAACTCCGCCTATGTTGTCTCAACATAGTAGGTCCCAAGCCCTGGTAAAGGAGGAGGGTTGTGATAGGTTTGGCGAGCCAACGTAAAACCTAGCCGTTCCATGGAGATTAATAATATTGAGGATAGTGAAGTTGAATTAAAGTTGAGTTAGATTTTACACACCTCGAATAAAAATTGGTTTTTCATTCATAAAGTGCAAAAATAATTATATATTAGCCGACAGACAGGCGGAGATGATTGATGGAATGTGAAACAATTATGAGATAATCATGTGGCATACTAATAAAGATAATTGATAAATTGTGAAATACAAACGAAAATAATTGCTAAGTTGTGAAACACTTATGTGATAAACGAGGGAACATAATAAATAAAGTGTGAAACAATTATGTGATAAACTATGTGACACACTGAAGATAATTGATAAAGTATGATAAAGTTATGTGATATACTATGCAATAACCAGACAAATATAATTGAAAAAAATGAAACAGTTATGGCATAAAACTACACGACAAACATACCGAAGATAACTGATAAAGTATGAATAGTTATGTGTTAAACTATGCGACAAACAAACAAATATAATTTATAAGAGAAAATAAATATTTTCACCCTGCTCTGAAGACAAATAAGTTTTACACACCGCCAAATAAAAATTATTTTTTTCACCCATAATGTGCAAAAACAATTATTTGATAAGCTATGGACATACGAGCAAATATAATTAATAAAGTGGAAAATAATTATGCAATATGCGACATACAAACAAAGATAATTGATAAACTGCAAAACAGTTATGCGATCAACTATGCAACAAACAGAAGAACGTAATTGATAAAGTGAGAAACAATTACTCGATAAAATCGAAGATAATTTATAAAATACGAAATAGTTATGCGATAAACTATGCGACAAACAGGTGAGCATAATTGATAAAAGTGCGAAAAAATTATATAAACTATGCAACAGACTGACAAAGATAATTAATGCGAAAAGCTATGCGACAGAAAAGCGATAATAATTGATAAAGTGCAAAAACATTATACGAAAAGCTATGCGATAGAGAGAAGATAATGACAAAGTGCGAAATAGTTACGCGTAAAGATATGCGACAGAAAGGCGAAGATAACTGATAAATTGCGCAATAGTTATGCAATAAACTATGTGACAATTAGACGAAGATATTTGATGCAAAAAGTTATTCGACAGACATGCGAAATTAATTGATAAAGTGGAGATAGTTATGCGATAAACAGACAAACAAAATTGATAAAGTGTGAAACAATTATGCGATAAGATATCCGAGAGACAGACGAAGATAAATGATAAAGTGCAAAACAGTTATGCAATAACTATGCGACAAACAAATGAACATAATTGATAAAGTGCGAACAATTATGCTATAAACAAGCAAATATAGCTGATAAAGTGCGAAACAGTTATGCGACAAACTATGCGACACACAGGCGAACATAATTTGTAAAGTGGAAAATAATTATGCGATAAACAATGCAACAGACAACCACAGATAATTGATGCAAAAAGTTATGCGACAAAATGCGAAGATAATTGAAAAGTGTGAAATAATTATACAGTAAATTATGCGACAAACATACGAACATAATTGATAAAGTGTGAAAAAATAATGCATTACACTATACGACAGACAAGCGAATAGAATTGATACATTGTGAAATAGTTATGCAATAAACTATGAAACAAAAAGGCCAACATATTTTATAAAGTGTGAAATAAATTTGCAACAACCAGTCGAAGATAATTAATGCAAAATTCTATGCAACAAACAATTGAAGATAATTGATAAAGTGCGAAATGATTATGTGATTACTTATGCGACGAACGTACGAAGATAATCGATAAAGTGCGAAACAATCATGCGATAGACAAGCGAAGTGAATTGATAAAGTACAAAATAGTTATGCGACAAGCAGGCGAACATACTTAATAAAGTGTGAAACAATGATGCGGTATTTATACGAAAAACAAATGAAGATAATTGACGCAAAAAGTTTTGCGACAGACATGCGAAGATAATTGGTAAAGTGCAAAGTAGTTATGTGATAACCTGTGCGACAGAAATGCGAAGATAATTGTTAAAGTGCAAAACACTTATGCGATGCACTATACAACAACCTGGCAAAGAGAATTGATAAAGTGTGAATCAATTCTGCAATAAACTATTGGACAAACAGGCGAATATAATTCATGCAAAAGTTACGCGACAAATAGGCGAAAATAATTGATAAAGTGCGAAATAGTTATGTGCTAACCTATGCGACAAACATGCGAACACAATAGATAAAGTGAGAAACAATTATGTGATATACTATGCGACATACAAGCTAACATAATTTATAAAGTGAGAAATAGTTATACGATAAACTATGCGAAAAACATGTGAACTTAATTTATAAAGTGCGAAATAATTGTGTGATTATTATGCGACAAATGGGAGAAGATAATTTATGCAAAAAGATATGCGATAGACAATAGAATATATTGATAAAAATCAAAAAAATTATGCGACAGACTGGCAAAGATAATTGATGCAAAAACATATGCGACAAAATACAACATAATTGATCAAGTGCAAAACAAAATATGCAATAAATTATGCAACATACATGCAGAGTTAATTGAGAAAGTGAAAATTGCTTATGCAATCAGCTATGTGACAGACATGCAAAGTTCAATGAGCAGGAGCGAAACAAGTTAGGCGATAAAGTATTCAATAGACATACGAAGTTAATTGAGCAAGTGTGAATTACTATGCGATCAACTACTTGAAAAACAGACAAATATAATCGAGTGAGATCTCATTATGCGATAAATTACGTGATAGAAAGACGAAGATATTCAAGCTAATGCGATATCATTTTGTCAAAAACTACGCGACATACATGTGAAGATAATTGATTGAGTGCAAAATATTTATCTGACAACTACACGAAAGAGAGGTGAAGAAAATTGAAAAGGTGAAAAATATTTATGTGATAAACTAGGCAACCAGCATGTTAAGGTAATCGATAAATTGTAAAATATTTATGCAATATAGTACGCGACAAATTTGTCAAGACAATCGAAAAATAGCAAAATAAATTATGCGACAGATAAGCGAAGTAAATTGAGTACGTGCGTATGATGTAGAGAAATGTGTGAACAGTTAGGTTAATCGCGTGTCTGTCGCATTTTAGTCGCATATCATCTTCTTACATTTGTTTTGACATTTTTTCAGTTTTTTCTCAATTATCAGCTTTACGTGTAAGCCCTAGAAAGGTCGTCCTCTCGGGAACGTTGCACCAGAAAATAAACACGTGAAGGAGGTTTTCAACATCTTGAATCCCTAAAATTTCTAAGAATGGAAATCCCCAAAGCAATAAGGTGAAGGATCGTGGGTTCGGGTCGAGATCAAATACCAAAGGAACATGATGAAAAACGATAGGGACGAAGACTTGGATGAACAGATTGAGCATACGCTGATAAAAGACGAGAAATGCATTTTGTATTTTCATTCTAGTTGCATAAATTTCTCAGCGCCTTGTATGACGACTTGTGCGACGACGACTGGGCTCTTTGGGATGCGTAACCTGGAGGCCAAGCTCAGAACACTGCGGTGCAGGCTAAGGCAATGAAATTGGGATGTTTTTAGGACCTCTCTTAGTACCTTTCTATAGCTCCGAGCGCATATGCAGACGCTAAACGGACTTATGATCTAGATTCCACTATGGAGAATAGGACTGCGATGTGCCTCTATCACACTGAGTACTGGCTCCGACT